AAACGATATCACTTAGTCCTGATCCCGATAGCTGCCGCTTGCGGTTTCGGGGGAGGGTCGCGCGTTGGCCTTACGAGGGCGGGGGAGTTAACGGGGCGAAAAAATCAAACCGCAACTTGGCTGGAGACAGATCCACGGCAGCCCAACAACTATCACAAGGCTGAACAACTGCCTGTCCCCAGGCGGCACTAATACTAAGCATACATTATAAAAACATCAGTATGAACATTTTAAAATTACTATGAGCGACACGAAACTAAGAGCAAATCAGTCGGGAGTGAATACTGAGTAATCAGACAACAATTAACGAAATACTTATAATAAGTAGCGAATAAACAGAAGTCCACCGATGATGTTTATATCCTCGCTTAATTTTCTAAAGTAATATCTGCTGAAAAATACCGCCCTACAGGCTCCTCTTACATTTATATACAAGTATTAATTGTAATACCGTTATTGTGTTAAAATAGACATTACAGTATATATTACAGATCGCACAATATATGACACTGTTAACATTTATAAATATAATAAATTTTTTCACCTTTACTTTAAGGTCGAACAATAATTTTTCGTGTACAGGTCAATGTTTATTTCTAAACAATCATTTCTTCGAATACTTTCACTAAGAGTATTAAAAATGTTCCTAGAAGAACTGAATGAACACTTTAGAGACTATTTCTGAAAACAATCTCCTTAGAAACGGGTGAGCGGAGTTCACAACCCAGTAAATAGTGCAAATCCTGAGATTTATCCAGCATTTAGAACCGATATTGAACAGGAAACTGACGTTAAAAGTATATCGTTTTTTAAAAGAGCACAAATTCGTAAAAAATAAGATTAATAAGACAGAAACGACAGGGTGTATACCAATAGTTTTGACCAAAAAGACTGGCAATTTCTACCAAATGGAAAAAATATTCATTGTTTTAAACTTACATTTTCCGTTTTTTTTTGTAGTAGTAGTAGCACTTTCGACTTTAATTAGGACTGTTTTCTTAATTTTTTGATTAAAATACCAATTTTAAAATGTTATAAATGAAAATGATTTTTCGAATAAATATTCTTAAGGATAGGAAATTCTTAAGAGGGCTCTATAGCAAATAGACAACCAGCAATACATTTTTATAAATTTTATTAGTTTTTCTAAATATGATTCAATGCACAAATAACAGACTTTCCTCCATTCTAATGCAGATTTTCTATAAAATGGAGTTAGTTTGAAAGTCAAATTACTTATGGTTGTAAAGAAATTTGAAATTTGTATCGTAAATTACAAATTTCTTTACACCAAAAAGTAATTTGAGTTTCAAACTAAATCCATTTTATAGAAAATCTGCGTTAGAATGGAGGAAAGTCTGTTATTTGTAAATTGATTCATATTTTGACAAACTGTGCAATAAAATCCATAAAAATGTATTGCTGGTTGCATATTTGCTCTATATTTTTGGTGGAAAACAGTTTATCATACAATACAAAATCAGTAAATAAACACGAAATGAAAAAAAAAAACTTTTGTATCCTGTGGACTACATTGGATACGAATTTGACATCAGAACTGCGCCACCACATCAGAATTTTTTTCTAAACTCAGAAATAATTGGAAATAGCAAAAACTGGTGCTTGCGAAACAACCAGGCGTGTAATAAGTAGGGCTGTCAGCGAGAGCCGCAATTTAATGGTGTGCCAAGCAGGTAAACCGAAACATGCAAGAGCCGTTCTCAAAATGCTTTTCAGGTTCGTGTCACATTAGTATACTGTTGCCTTTGTTATCGTGCGGATGTTGTGGAATTCCTATCCATTGGTATTCTAGACAATTTAATCTGTTGTTTTTTAACAAATAATGCGTACGTCTATGTCTCGTGGCTCAGTTCTGACAGCCCTAGTAATAAGTTAACGAAAATGGGTACTCAAGTATCTGCTACTCTGAATGTATGGATTAGAATTCCAACTTCGAAAAACATGAAGCATTCGATACATTCAAATTATATGGAAATCAAGCCATAGCATATTTGAAATATATTTTTAAAGAGCGTCAGTACAAATTTGACACCAGAATTGATCAATCGAACAACGACCACTTTCAATCCTCAAAAATATTAAGGTGCGAGTTTTGCTGTCTCGCGTTACTTGGATTAATTAGATAGTTCGAAGGTTCATAAGCACTGTCCGAGGTTTTGGAAGCGCAAGACTGGCTGGCTCCTATTTCGAATGGGTTCACGCAATTATTTGAGGTTAGATTGAAATTCTAACGTATACTCTAAAAGAATTGATTACTCGAGCAGTAAAACACATTTTATTATTTTCTTTCCATTATTTCACGAGGTCTATATACAAAACCATATGTATAAAAATTTGATAACCTCGATTTTTTCGAGGTTAAAAAGTGGTTGTTATTCGATTGACAAATTTTGATGTCAAATTTGTACTCAACTGTTTAAAAAACATGCTATATCCCGATTTCTATGCTATTTGAACACATCAAATTCTATCACACAAGTTTTCAAGGTTAGGTTCGATGACAAACTTGGGTTGGATGTACTTGAGTATCCATTTTGCTGTTTCAGATTTTTCAAGAAATCAAAATTATTTTGATTTTTTTTAAATTGAGAACTCTTATTTTGTGGATATGCGTCGTAGTAAATATTTTGATATGAAAATTGCAATCACTCAAAATAGATTGAGGGAGAGTTAGGTAATCAGCCAAAGTTAGGGGCGAGAATACTAGATGGCGACACTACCAAAAAAAAAACCCTGTCGCCCTATAAAAACGGAGTTACACAAATTTTATGACAAATTTACTTTTCCGCAAAGTGACATCTGACAGCGATACTTTATAAGTAATTTTAAAAAATTCCTTGAAAGTTATATATCCCTTGAAAGCTCAATAATTACAAATAAGTATCCAGTGTATAAAATTACAAGTAAAATATATAGACATTTTCCTGGTCTATATTCTGTTTCCCAGACTGGTATACACCCTGTCGTTAACTCCACCATAAAAATTTGAGGTGCGAATCGGTGAATTGATGGTAAACGCCGACAAATTTCCAGACTTGCGCCACTATCTTACTTATGAGTAACAATTGTCCTGAGTTCGGTCGCGGCTCGCGACCCTGCGGTGGATTTTCCGTTTATCTCGTGTGACGAGTGCGTAGCTGCCACAGCTGGGTTAATCACGTATGAGAGGGTGGTGCTCTTAGTTTCGCTGCGCCATGGCACGTGGCCAGGCAACAGACGCATTGGTCCGCGAATCACACGTATTGAAAAAAAAAACTCGATGCACAGCTACTACGGAATGTAGGCAGGTCTGTCTATGTGAAAGGAGTGATGATAACACCAGGCCGATATCGCCTTGACTAGATCTGCGGAAATGAGAGACGGGGAGGGCCGAACCTGCTCGGCAAGCTGTGGCGCAGCTGCACTAACAAATTTCATTTAAATACGCAAACGGAGGCCGTAAGCCTCGCGGAAATGCTCAAGAATTTTTCTTTGTGTAAAATTTACGTTGTAAAATTAATGTTGGGATTAGTACTTTTTGAAAGGTCGTACCAGTCACATTATTTTGACGCACACTAGGGCAGATCTGGTAAAAGGGACTACTTTGTGATTGTAAGGTACATACCAAACGACAAATTTTTAATATACAGAGCGTTCAACAGTGTTCCGAGTCCCACGTGATCAGTTTGCTGTTGACATTCAGTAAATTTAATGATTTTGTATACAGGGTGTCCCGAAATTAATGCAACAAAATTTGGTCATAGATTCTTAAGACAAATTTAGGCAACCCGTATTTTTTATTTTTGCCAAGTGGCCGCCTCTTTCGGATTTACAGCCCCCTGAAATCTGACCCTAAGGATAGTCTTCTTTATATCTCAGGATCCTGTTGTACGCGAATCACTAAATTTGGTACACAGGGAGTTTTATGACATATGGAATCTGAAAGCGCTACGCTTTTTGGTAGGTTCCCTTGTCTTTGGAACCAAAAAAATTTTGACGCATATTTGAATTTCTTAAAAATTATTAGTTGGCTAAAAAGCCCTTGAATTTAGAAACTTTTTTGGCTCTTGATATTTTATTCGTAAAACGCAAAGTTTTTAAGAAAAATGGCGAATCACGATATGCATTCGATCACATTTTGTCATTTTTCTCGAAAACATTGCGTTTTACGAAGAAAGTATCAAGGGACAAAAAAGCTTCTAAATTTAATGGCTTTCTAGCGGACTAATAATTTTTAAGAAATTTAAATATGCGACCAAATTTTTTTGGTTCTAAAGATGAGGGGACCCACGAAAAATTGTCTTAAGGGGATTCCCCGCCGAAAAGCGCAGCACCATCGGATTCCACATCACAAAACCCCGGTGTACCAATTTTAGTGATTCTCGTACAACAGGGTTCCGAGATATTAAAAAAAGACTATTCTTAGGGGCGGATTTCAGGGGGCTGTAACTCCAAAACAGGAGGCCAGTTGTCAAAAATAAAAATTACAGCTCCCCTAAATTTGTCTTAAGAATCTTTGACCAAATTTTGTTGCATTAATTTCGCAACACCCTCTATAAAGGGTCATGCAGAATTGACAGCTAGGCGACCATTACAGGAAAATGGAAAGAGCAATTAGCTAACTGCTTGCAGGGATCTTTATGGCATGATGATACAAGCATTTGACTTAAGAGGGCTCTATAGCATATAGGCAACCGGCGCAATACATTTTTATAGATTTTATTGCACAGTTGGTCTAAATATGAATTAATGCACAAATAACAGACTTTCCTCCATATTAACAAAGATTTTCTATAAAAAGTACTTGGTTTGAAACTAAAATTACTTTTTGGTGTAAAGAAATTAGTAATTTACTTGTTTAAAAGCGGCAAATTACAAATTTCTTTACAACAAAAAGTAATTTGAGTTTCAAATTAACTCCATTTTATAGAAAATTTGCGTTAGAATGGGGGAAAGTCTGTTATTTGTGCATTGATTCATATTTAGACAAACTGTGTGATAAAATCTATTAATATTGCTGGTTGCTTATTTGCTATAGAGCCCTCTTAAACAAAAGTTGAGAAGACGTGACGTAAAAAATATTTGTTCGTGGTCATGTGACACTCGGATATTGTTGAAGACACTCTATTATCGCATACATACTCTTACAACAAATTAGCCTTTTGTTTTGGGATAACATTCAGTGAAACACGCAAATGAAATGTCAAAATTTTGCGGTATTCTTGTACGGTGAGAAAAAAAATTATGGAGGCAGGAGCATTTCCGCAAAGACTTGGCGCACCTTAAGTACTAATCATACGGATGAGATCGATCGACAGAACGAAACGTGATTAAGTAGCGAATAACTGACACAAACATGGTTCCAAACGTACCGCCGTTTCAGTCAAATAGTAAGTAATAAATTAAGTACTAGACAATAATTTAAGTACACTCAACACAACCGTATTACTTAACCGCTTGATTATAAATAATTTATTATTATTGCCATCCAACAGGAATATCAGATATATAATACGGAAATTTAAACGACGCTGCGTTCAATTAATACTGATTATTGCGAGTTATTGCTAAATGCCATATGAGCAGAAGGCGGCATCGGTCAAATGGAAAGGAATACCAAGCAGGTGTGATGCTTCATAAATATACTGCCCACAGCATATCGCAATGTGACCCTATATACACAGTTTTTGTCGAATCATTTTAAAACACACTGAGAATAGGCACGAGACGCCGCCATTGACAATTGGAAATGTATCGTTTGGAAGTCCGTCGGGCCACCTCCGGGCCCTAAACACTTAAAACAATGAATACAAAACAACAGTGTGAGCAAGTGGTTTGTCCCCGTTCAGACATACATGCCTACACCGTACATCGAGCCCCAATCTACGCCCTGGAAACTCGACATGTCCACGTTGGTGAGATTGTAGCCTTGGTATGGGCTCGCTGCTACCGGGGGCGCTAGTGTCGGGGCCGCAGCTGCCGGGGCCGGGGTTGGCTGGCCTCCAGCACCTACCAAACAAAAGCAACCATTAATCTATCATATTATATTATTGGAGAATACATTACTTTTTAATTATTTAGAATTACTGAAAAATGTAACGAAAATATGGAAAACGGCAAGTACGGACCTTTAAGGTACGATAAAATTCCTCTTTTCTGTCAACAACTTTTATTAAAAAAGTATTTCAATATCTCTTCTTCATTCTTCAACAGATATGACAATATACAATGTGTCCCGGGACCGCCTAGCCGGGTGTCTTGGCCGGTGGATTTCGATTTGCGAGGTAAGCATCACGGACGCAGGCTGGAATTTGGATGGGTGATCTAAGGCAGGCTCGGGGATGTGGCTGTGGCAGCCTACCAGAGACCTGGATCGCTCAACATTTTCCGCATGCGTGTGGTCCCCGATAAATGGTAATGAGAACAGAGCAAAGAAAATCTCTGTGACTCAAGACCATGCTGTCATACATAAACCGTACGAGACTTTGCCACCAAGCCACCCATATAGTAAGTAGGATGGTTTCAAGAAAAGTACTCGAGTAATGAAGGAGGGTGTACAAGGGGCCTAATAAGGCCTAAGTTCCGCGGTGGAAAAACAATTCCACCACCCTCCGACATACATACATACATACATACATACATACATACATACAATGTGTCCCACTTTTCATGGAGCCACCCTGATATCTTGTTCACCTAATATCCAAATATTTTGAAATTTTGGTGGTGAATATATACAGGGTTCATAGTTCAAAAGTAATAAAGAATTCCCTGACTTTTCCAGGTTTTCCCTGACTTATAAAAAAAAATCCAGGTCACTTGTAGTTCATTTTTACATACTAATTGGTGTTTATGCATTAAATTTTTTTTCGACTGGACTCCAAAATCTTTTTTATACCCTAACAACCTATTATAAAGGTTTCAAAACCACAAATAGTTTTCTCTTTCAAGAACCCAGGGTCGGCTTTCACAAAAGTTCCAGTTGCAAACATCAAATTCCCTGACTTTCATCAATATTTTTAAAATTCCCTGACTATTCCCTGTTTTTTATGAAGAATAACAAATTCCCTGACTTTTCCCGGTATTCCCGGTTTTCCCGGCCACTACGAACCCTGTATATACCTAAAGTGAATATTTATTTAGACGTAACCATAATTGATTGTAGTCAGAGGCGTCCACATTATTCTGAACAAAAAATAAATATATATTTTTTTAATTTTTACAGACCTGATCAACCCGTGTTTTTCTCTATTTACATACACATTTCGAAAAGGAAGAGATGTTGTAAAACTTTTTTAATAATAGTTGTTGAGGAAAATGGGGGCATTTATAACTACGTTTTCTTGTAATAACAGTCAATCATCAGTTCTATATACATAGTTCGTCAAAGTAGCTTTGCGGGTGACCGTGCCATTTTGATTTTTTTTATATCTTTCATTTTCTGGTTATTTTATATATACTGACAAACGTATTTGAAACTAACAACTAATTTGACCCATTAAAATATTGCATTTTTATAAATTTTAAAACAAACAAGTGAGAAAAACAATGTAAAGTTCTTATAAGTGTATAAGAGTGAGTTAATTTAAACAAAAACAATCTAAACGTTTACTGGAACATAAAGGAAAAAATGGACTTCGGTTTATTCTGCATCCATTTGAGCAATGTTTTCAAATTTTCTTTCTTGGTTTCAGCTACAGCAAGTGTTTCTTTTATAATATGAAATAATTAAAACTGACAGTTCTGCCATGAATTCAATGGCGGCCATGTGTGAGCCGCTGCCTCAGAATGCTTTTCACGTTCACGTCACGTTAGTATACTGTTGCCTTGTTATCGTGCGAATGATGCGTATTATGGTAGTGTATTGTAGACAATTTAATTTGTTGCTTTTTAATATATCATGCGCACGCTTATGTCTCGCGGCTCAGTTCTGACAGCCTTATTTCATAAATTAGAACATCTTCCATATACAAATACACACTTCATTGAACTTTACAAACATTTTATGGAAAAAGTAAGCACAATATTTTTAATTGAAAAAATTTTAAAACTAGCAGGAATAAATGGACTTAAAACCTTCTCTTCTTTAAAATTAATTGTAATTGTTTGCAATGCAGATACTAAAATGAAATTATACCAAAAACTCTTCTTGCAAAAATGCCAAGAACTTAATTTTCTGCCAGTTATAATCTGCTAAGTAAAAACTTGGCAAGCGGGACAGTTTAATGCAGAAGAAATCAAAGTCCTGGACTTACGTTGTTTCTTAAACCAACTATGCCTTACCCATAGGAATGCAAAATAGTATAAAAATCTCAAAATGGTCGAAATGTCAAGTTTCAACAAAATAATTTAAAAAAGTAATTTCCTGATCATACTAAACTTATACTATAAATTACCTTGGAATCATCTGATTCGGCGCCCAACGTTGGACGCCAATTAATATATAGCCAAATATTTGGAGAACAAAGTATGTTTTACCAAATATTTTTACAATTTGGAAGTGTCCACGCGCAATGTTACGCTTAACGAGCTTTAGGGTAGGGTACTACTTACCAGCTGCTCCAACTCCAGCACTGACAGCGGTCATCGGGTAAGGCGAATAACGGTAACTAGCCAAGTGCGGGTATGCCCCAAAGAGTTTTCCGTAGCCGGCGACGGCGACAGACTGGGCCTGCACGGCCGCGGCGGCCGCAGCTGCGGCTTGAACGTGGGCCTGAGCTTGTATCGTTGCGAGGGGATTCACCGCGGCGATGGTTCCCGGTGCCGGGGCGGCCATCCTCATTCCCAGGCCGCTCAGCATCAGCCGCTTGCCGAGCAATTGAGCGCTGGCTTGAACTGCCTCTTTGGGTTGAGCCTTCTTGCATTCCACTTTTTTGTTTTTGATGGTGTGGAAGTGGATTTCGCACACGCGATCGACGACGTCCTCGTTCTCGAACGTGACGAAGCCGAAGCCCCTGTGTCTTTTGGTCTGCTGGTCCATCAGCATCACCGTCTCCTCCACCTTGCCGAATTGACTGAAGTAGGCTTTGACCTCGTCGGCGGACGTGTCCTGGCTGACGCCGCCGACGAAGATCTTTTTGGTTTTGTTCGGCTGCTTGGGCCGGTTCTTGGGCGTGGCGTGCTTCGGGTCTATCTTCTTGCCGTCTAATGTGTGGATTGGCACCTTTAGCACGTTGTCGACGCTCGATGGTTCAGAGAACGTTATGAAACCGAAGCCGCGGCTTCTCTACAAAAGAAAAACGCATATTTTGGTCTGGCGAAACACATAATTTAAAAAATATATTATAATCTGCATTTCCTAGTCTTCAATATTTGTTTATACGTGTTGACCAAACTGCGGAATGACACAAATCTTAAAATCTTACTTTTAAGAGGATAAAGAATTGTGACTGAACAGTCAACCATAATAAAAAGGAGTATATTCTCTGTTCTGTGGATCGAAAGGTGGTTACATTGACTCGCGTTTGCGTAAATTTCAGATTAAGTTGCAAAATAAAAAAGTTATTAACAAAAAAAACAAAAATAAACGGTAACTAGGGTCCTTATCTCGGCGGTTTTTTAATATACAGATATCAAACCAATTACATCAAATGGTGGCTGTTCTATTTAATATTTTGTAATAAACTTGGGCTCGTGGTAAAGTAGAAGCCTTCCTTTATATACTGAATTTGAATGGATTCGACCAAGAAATAACCATGTAAACTTTCATTAAAGCCAGAGTGAACCGAACGGTAGCCAGGAGAGGGGCGCTGTGACGTCATAGTGCTTGTCCATGCTGTGCTCGGCTTCTCAAAATTCTTACTTAACAAATGAATTGTGTCACTTAGAAAGTAGCTACCGGGATGCCTTTTTTAAATCAACTTATTTTGTCGGCTCTTTTGAATGGTGTAAACAAAAGTCCATGAATGTCGTCGCTAGACACCGAAAAATACATTTATATTGACTTTTCACGTTTTCTTTTGAAATTTCATTGTGCTTTCGATATTTTGAAAAGTATGAAGGTCTTTTTACGTATTTAAAAACAAAAGTCAATTATTTCTTTGAAAAATAATGATAATTATTCTATTTACCGTACTCAGAAGAGGTCGGCGTATAAAATATTGCCTTAAAATTAACTGTTACAGTTATTGCGTAAATTGTGTCTAGAATATTATTGAATGTTACAATATCAATTTTACATAATAAGTACTGCATTTTATAGTATTTAAAAGAACTGTTCCATTCAATTCTGCCATAGTTTATTTAATAAACTGTATTGCTGGAGAAAGTTGTATTTCTTTAATTTTTATAAGAATATTAAAAGTAAAATAAATATTTAATGTATATTTTAGACTTCGATGAATTTTGCCATTTTGCCACATTCAAATCACGTGCTCTATAATGTAAACGACCAACTTAAAAAATACATCGAAGAGTAAAATATTTTGATGTAATTGGTTTGAAATATGATATTAAAAAAACGCCGAGATAAGGACCCTAGTTCC